CGTCAGAATCAATAACCAGAGGGTCGGGGGGGGCGGAGGAGAACCAAGAAAAACAACAAAACCCCACAAAACAAACAAAACCCACACATAAACCAAGAACCAAACCCGCAAACACACACAGCAAACCCCCCCGAAAGCCCCCAGATTACGGCACGTCGTTTCCAACACCCGGACCAAGGAGCCAGCTTTCCGCAGCGTTTCACACTGCCACGTGCACAGGACTGGGAACGGGGAAGCGAGCACATGTGCTGCACCACGGGGCTTTGAGCAGGGCTGGATTCCAGATGGGATGGGAATCCTCAGCCCAGGAAACCAGCGTTCGAAGACCCCAACCTCCGACACCACAGCGAGCGTCACGCCGCGCAGCACCCAGGCCGGCCACCTCCCCGGACCCGGCTCAGGCAGCGCCGGCACGCGGGGAGCGCGTGTGCCACTGCACTAAACACGTACTGACCAGAGGCAGAGAGAAGGGTGGTTAACCTGACGCTTCTGCCGAGCTCACGCTACAGTCTGCGCATCCCGGGTAGGCAAAAAGGAGGGGGGGACCCTATAGGTGGGTTACTTTTATATATTCACACATCTATGAAAGCGTGGGCGCGTGACCAGGAGAGAGATTAAGAACTCACAGTATTTCCTTAACTAAACAGTCTGGTAAGCAGGGGCAAAATGCTCTTTGGAGCGAACGTGCGGGACTAACGCCAAACCCACAAAGAAACGGGCACCCCAAGAGCTGACAGTCTGCCTTCGCTGTGAAGAGCTGGAGCGTGGCTCCCACGATCCGCCCCACCGTGCCGGGGGACCCGTTGCCAAACGGCTGCTGGTGCCCGAGCACCTCCACATCCAGCCCCTCGGATGCTCCTGGGCGAGCGCTCCACCGCTGCTTTCCAACATCAGGAATTTCATTTGGGCAGGGGTCACCGCCCTGTCAGGAGACCCCGATGCTTCCCAGCACCAACCGGGCGGCTCTTCCCTCCACACGCGGCTCAGGCCTCCCGGCAGCTGCAGGGGCCGGGATCCGGGGGGGAAGCAGAGGTCCCTGGCAGCCGGGGTGTTCCCAGCCCCACAGGGCCGGCTGAGGGCTCTGACCCATCTCCCTCCCCGCAGCAGTTATCCCGGCTCGGCTCGGCAGCTGGAATGGCGCAACACGCAGCACTGAAGGAGGATTGCCTCATGCAGTCCATCCCTCTGGGAGCAGAAACACAAGTGTCCCGAAAGGACACCCTGGATTTCTCCGTCGCAGGCTCCAGTCCGGCTGCTCATTTAACAAGGGAAACACCAAGGGCCAAAGCACCCTCCGAAACCGAAGGCGGCAGCTGCAGCCCCAGCCCGCTCTGCCCCAGAAGCCTCCCAGATTTCCTCCTCCCATAGATCCAGTACATCAGTTTTATTCCGGCGTCACCACCGTGCCTGGAAATCGCAATCAAGGGCTACAACTCTGCTACGCTTCCAGGAGCTCTGCGCCGGATCGCGGGCGCAAAGGATACAACCTACGTGTCAGACAAGTCGATACCGTGATTCTGATTCCGTTTTATGCCTCAGCTCTTTGGGTGATGGTGTCTGGGGAGAGAAATATAATTTGGATTTCAAGGGACTTAGATGTCACCTGTGGGATTGTTCCTTCCCACCTCACATCTCTCCCCCCGGAGCATCAGAAAAGCTCCATCCAGGTACAGCCGACCCTTAGCATTCCGAGTGCAGGAAGGGAATTCATCGGCACAGCGATTCTGGCCCACGAGTTACGAATGCAGTTGGGTAAGACTGTGTCAAAGGTGGAGAAAAGATGCTGCAGTAATCAAAATGTGGATGAACACGAGCCCAGAAGTTCATTTTAGCTGGGTGAATGGGTAAGAAGAGCCACGATGTCGGATTTTTAGACAAAGCACTGCAAAGACTTAGACTGGCACCAAGAGCCCCCAGTGCCCACACCCGAGACAGCACACACATCGCCAGTTCAGCAGCAGATCCAGATGTGGAGATGATTTGAGAGTGGGGAGAGGAAAAATCATGAATATTAAGCCAACCCCTATTAAACAGCAACCAAAGCAGATGCTACGGCCACCACCACCGCCTTTGGCCTCCCCTGCCAGGTGACGAGCAGGCAGACCACGAACGCTGATCGATGCGACCCCTTCACGGTGGGTCGTGCTACTTGACGGAATTGGAGACTTTTCCATGGAGCGTTTTTAGGCCCCGCACAGTGCACCAACGGCTTCTGAAGCGCAGGACAGAGCGCACATCAAGGAGGAGACTTACTTCTCCGGCTGCATTAAAAGACGGGCAAGGAGATCAAAAGCAACAGGTCAAAAAGGGAGACAAGAGGAAGAGGGACAAACAGGATCCCCTGATTCCTTAGGGCTGTATTTTGCTGGATCCAAGCAGACATCCAACGCCCTTTTTCCTCGCTCTACTTGAACTGAATCCTGCAAATTCCTCCCAGAGAGCCTGCCGCTGTAACCGAGGGGAGAGCAGCGACCCCCCCGCAGCCCCCATCAGCCCGACAGACACCTCGGTTCGGCACAGCCTGCGACCTCGCGGGACTTACACAACCTTGTTGGCAGTGCCACGTGCTGCTGACTCACGCCGGTTGTGACTGGTGAGAACCAACAACCCCTCCTGGTGTTACAACTAGTGACACTTTCATCACCTTATACCTGTGCTCCGGGTACCCGCCTCCCACATCAGCCGCTGGACAAGGCTGGTTTGTTTACTGGTGCCAGTTCCTCTCTCCAGTCGTGTCCTTAACCTCATTCTCGGGTGCTGGATACCTCCTGGTGTGGAGCCAGCTTGACGCTGTTATCCAGCTTGAGAGAGTCGAAGCATCGTTCTCCACTGCACCGAACCCTCCTGTTTCTCAGTACCTCACAAACCCAGCACCAAAGATGAATCCAGCATTAATTACCATTCTCGCCCATCCCTGGCAGATGTGCAATTTGGTTTTTAAAACAACGGGTTTATCTCCTGTTTCCCCACAAAAAAATCTCTGTGTCCACTGAGCTTGTAAGGCTTTAGCAGGGGAAAGCAAATGAAAGATGAGAGAGATAAAAATCAAAGGTGAGATTTGATTTCTGCTCCCGCTCGTACCTGACGTGCTACCCACCGACTGTGCCGTGCCCGTGTCCAGCTGAGCCTCCCCGAGGAAAGGGTGGGAGAGGGGAAGAAGGAGAAGCTCTTTGCAGAGCAACAGCAGAGAAACCCCCATCTCCCACCACCCCATGCGCAGCTCCTTCCCGGCCAGGAGCACAGTGTTTGTTTCGCCCGCGCTTTGCTGTCACCTCGGGGACGGAGCCGCAGGGGCAGCTGTGCTCCTGCCCCCAGACTGTCCAAATCCCGGCCTTTTCTGGAGCTCCCCTTCCCATAAAGAGAGCGCCCGCGCCTCCTCCACAGGTTCCTCCAGCACAGACATGGACTAAGGGATCGTTGGCTTCGTTTTTCCGTATGGAATTCAGGTTCCCTGATCTCTGACCGTTCTCTGAAGCCGGTAATTAACGCTGTCATTGCACGGGCACCTCACCTGTACGGCATTACACCACCCGTCTCAAACGCCCTCTACAAACCAGAGGCAAAACACCGGCCGCTTTTCGTTTTCCGGGCGCACGCGGGCTCATCCCTCCGCGTGCCGCAGCTCCGGG